TTAAATTAAATTAAATTCTTCCATGAAAAACTTTCTAGCAGATAAGTTCCAAGTAATCAGCAATTAGTAGCATTAATTTATATATGCAAAGATATCGCTAAAATCGATCGAGAACTCGTGATGCAAGAGAAAACAATCGGGAACTCGTGATGAAAGAGAAAATGATCGAGAATTCTTGATCCAAAAGAAAAAATATCTTGAATAAGAAATGATATTGTCTCTATTTATTTGATAACATATTTATTGAGAAATTAAAAAGTCTATTGGATGTTTGATGGAATGCGATCAATATTTTCTAAGTTAATAAATTTTTCTTCCGCCCTTTTTCTTAATTGTTGCAAACAAACAACTTAGACTATGAATGATTGCAAAAATTTCACATAGTAAAAGTATCGTAAAAATATTTTCTTTTTATATTTATCAGCGATGATTAAAATTAAAATTTCAATTACAAGCAAAAAAATCTAAATATTGCTTAGAAATATTGGGCATAAAAATTAAGAACAAACTAATATGATCCCCAGAAAATTCTTTTTAACAAAAATTTCATCATTTTTTCTTGAATACTTTCATGATGCCGCATAGTAATTAAGACATTAATCTCCACATTTTCTTAAATTATCTATTTGCAAAAAAAAAGAATCTCTTATGATCATAAATTAAAATGGAACTAACTCGTTATTCAGTGAAATAATGCTGATTGGCAATGAATTACGATTGTAATCCAAATGTTTGCGAATTGTTTGCGTTTGATTCCCGCTGAAACTTGACGTTCTAACGACATCGAAATGAGTGCGAAAATTTGGTGCTTTCGAAATGAGTGATAATTCTTCAGTTCTATTCCAGATTTGTGATCCAAAATTGGATGCTTGTCGTTGACTGAAATTATCAATGCATTCATTACATTTGCAAACAATTTAAATGCAACATTTGTATATTCCACTACGATAATAATTATTTAAAAAATAACTTACAAGAAGAAATTAGACATTCCTTTATTACTTCCTTTTCTTTTCAAAAATTTTGCCCCTTTTTCGATTGTCTGTGCAGCGGCTAATTTATCAGCAACTAATTGTTGCAAAATTTTTTGCGAAACGTTGCTATCTATTATCCTGAAAAAATTAATAAATTTTATTTTAAATTGCAAAAATCTATTTGATATTTTGTGAAATGAAATGATTCATCGTTTCAAATTCAAGCATACCTTTTTTGCAAACATATTTTTTCAAATATACCTTATGCTTCTTAGCTCTTATTAGCTCTTTTCAAATACCTTAATACTTCCTACTAAATAACTTACTATTTCATAGTTCCTGGCAATAATAACTTTTAAATTTGTTGAAATAATTTTCAAAAATATCCATTCGGTGAAATTTTAGCACAGAGAAAAAAATAAAAGATAAAATGTAAACATTTGAGAAAAAATGTATTTTTTACAATAAAATTAAAAATGACTGATATCAAATGAATACTTGCAAGAGCCGTTTCTCCATTAACTTTTGTACTTTTGTACACTACGAAAGTTCTGGATATCAATATGTGATAAAAAAAAACCGGATTTATTCTCGCCCATAAATTATCATCTTATATTATGGATGTGCAAAAAAGCGCGACCAACCGCTAAGATTTTTGTGGGAAATATATCCAGCAAAACAACAAATGATTCGTTAATTGCGCTACTTTTGCCTTCTTTCTATTCATTCAAACTTTTTTTTTTTGAGTTAAACTCTTGAATTTAAATACTAAAATATTCCATCCAAATCCAATCAATCTGAATTAAATTCAGGTATGACTTTTTGTAAATCTTTTAGAGAAGATTACAAAAGCGGTTTAAGGTTATGTTGATGAGAAAATATTGCACCATACTGAACCACTAAAGAGTTTTAGTGGCCGTGCTTTTTTTTCTCAATTACAAATTCAATTTGGCTCAATTTTAATTTATATTCCATAAACTGTCCAAAAATCTCACCTGTATGCACGTGATGGACGTGTTAAGGTTCCAGCTAATATATGACCTGCAAAATGGTAGTTTTAACGAAAGATAATTTACCTGTAGCAATTAAATCAGTTGTATGGAATTTTTTTCTGCGAGTATAATCATTGGAAAAGATTATGAGACAGAATGCTGTAATCATACGAATGAGAAAATTTTTCAATAGGATTTAGCAAATTCGATATTTTTTATATTGAATTTTAAATTTCCATTTACCTGAATCGCATCCAATGATTGCGGTATTTATAATTGATTCCTGAGTTACTGCTCCTGAACGTGTAGGTGTAGTTGTCGTGCTTCGATAACATCTAAAAACGTAATATCACTCATAAATATTTCATCATGAAGTTTTTCAACATCAATTTAAAAATAAATCACTAATTGACTGATAAATTATTTTAAATCTACAAATAGATTTTCTTGAATAAAACTTACGTTGATAATTTCTCCGGTGTTTCAGCATCATGATCGCTCTCGGCACTTTTTAACGTTGTTGATGTTGACGACGACGACGACGACGACGACGATGATGATGATGATGATGATGATGATGATGATGATGATGATGACGATGATGACGATGATGATGATGACATTGATATTCTCGTTGATTTCATGTTATCATAGGTGGTATCATTGATGTCAACTTTGTCCTTACCTGTGTAATTGCGATTGTTGTCTGATCGAAATTTCTCCTGATCTGATACCATTTCATCTTCTTTTTGATCACAATAATTCACCTAAATTTCCATTCAATTTATGCAATCTAGTAAATTATTAAAGATTATTTCACGAAAGTAATCAATTTTTTAGCCTTTTTCCTTTCAAAAATATCACAGATCAATTAGCAAATATTTAGATACGATACAATTCTATTCTATCCAATTAATTCATTACTGTTATGACAATTTTACATAATACATGACCTTTGCCTTCCTTGCTTTATCTAATCAATTTATTACTTCTCTAATCTATTCTTACAATCAAGTAATTGGCTTTGAAAGAATAAACTGGTAAAGAGGTAGTAAAAAATTTTCAAAAAAACTTTTTAAAAGCTCGAAATAAGTTAACAAAAGCAATCTATCATATCATTTTATCGCCGATTATATTTTCTGTTACAAAAAAGATGCTTTTTATAATAATACTACGTTTGCAAAAGCAATTTTGAAAAAAAAAATAAAGTTTAGAATTTATATGTAAAAAAATTAATTATCTCTAAAAATACATCAACTGATAAAATCAATAAAAATCGAATTTTCAATTTACGAGAATTAGATCTTTTAAAGTTGACTTTAAAAATTGATTCATTTCTTTCTTCAAAATTTAGCTTTAAATATCTTTCCTTTTGATCTCTTTCCTTTAAAATATATCCTATTGCTTCTCTCTTTCTATATCAAGAAAAATATTTATTTTATGAAAACTAAATTTTTAAAAATAATTCATTAAAATATAGCAGCTTCTTTTACAATGATTTAATATTTCGCTTGTAATAAATTACAATATTTTAAATTAATTCTTTTGATCTCTTTCCTTTACAATCAATGTAAAACAAACTGCTATATTTTAATATTTTAAAACTGCTTTTAACTTTTTTTTTGTTCAAAGTGAAATGGAAGTCAAATAAAATTGATTATTTAGAAAAATGAGAACAAAAAAGTTTAATAAAACTATTTTAACTTCACTATAAGTGGTTTTATTGAAGAATGATAAATTTTGCTACTTGCTGTAAATTTAAAAAAAAAAGAAAGAAAAAAATGTAGAATAAAATAAAATGTAGAAATAAAACAAAAAGTAAAAAAAAAAGTAGAATATTTACGTCAATGAATATAGTTGTTGACTAAACAAATTAGAGCATTAAAAACTTTCTAAAACTATAAAATATAAATTAATGAAAAAAAGAAAGAGTTGATTAATATTGATGAAATAAAAATAATACTAACATTTTCTCGGAATTATAACGATGATAGCATGCATGCATTTGTAATCGTAAAGATAATAGAAAATGAAAGAAGTGAAATTTCAAAACTTGATTCTAAGCATGATGATAATGATGATGATGACTTTGAAAGGAAGTAATATAACAAAAGTTTCATATTGATTTTGTTTCGGAAACAGACAACAGCGCATCTGTTTGGATTTATGCAGCAGACTTGTGAGATTCGTAGCAATGATTTTTCAAATGCTCCAATTTTGGTTGAAATTGTTGAAATTGTTAAACTATTAGAATTACACCCATTTTAATGATCATTTAAATCGATTTTTTTTGATACGGAATAAATAAATATTATAGGAGAAAATAAAGTAGTAATAACGTTGAATAATTCGTGATTTAATAAATATCATCTGAGATATTTGTATGAAATTAAATTAATTAGTTGGTGATGTTTGCCATCTCAAAGACAAATGATCTAAATTGTTGGATTCGAGCAAAATTCAATTTTTGGAGAATTTACACAAATGTCATTTAAATGTGGGACAAATATGAATTAAACGATTGATGCTGTGAAGAAAATTGGTGGAAAATTGTGGAAAAAGTGATAAAGAGAAAGGCATTTACGATAACCTTAATAAATGGAAATAATCTATCATTAATGTATAATTTGTTCAATTTCAAACATTAAATATTACCTCTTTCGTTTTATTTTTAAACAAGCTTTTCACAGTTAAAATTTTTTGTTCTCGCTTTTCTACAATATATGAACTATAGCATTAAATTTGTAAAGAAAACACTATTGTAAAAAAAATTTTCAGGTCCAAACTAAGATGAAATTTTGAATTTCTCATTTTTTTCAAACTATGCAATTCTTATAAAATCAGGGAACGGAAGAAGAAAAGAAAAAGGAAGAATGATGGATTTCTTGATTTATTTAAGACAGCGAAGGAGCCGGTCAGAATGACATTTACATTGCGTAATTCATTAGTAAAAAATATCAGTTATCAGTGACTACAATCGATAAGACACGTATGCTTTCAAGTAAGCTCAAAAACTTATCTTTATCTCGAGAAAGTATAAAATGATTGAAAGCAAATAATTACTAAATTATTATGATAGTAATTTATTGCAGTATGATTGAGATCATTCATAAATATTACAAATTTCTATTCAACAAAATTTAATTCATTGTGTGAAAAATTACAAAATTCTGGAATATTTGATCTTTCTAAACAAAGATAAAAAATGATTAAAAAGAAATTAAATCATTTTTAGGAATCAAATCTTTTTGCCATTTTGCAAAAGAGAAACAAAAAAGTTTGCTGGAAAAAAATAAACAATTTTAATTGAGGAAGAAATATTCCGGCACTGAATCTATGAAATAGTTTTGTCGTCTTAAGGGATTTCATTTTTTTAACAGAATCAATCAATCAAATTCAAAATTTGCAACTGACAAAATAATGAATTTAAAAAAAAGTTGCTCCACAAGAATAGACACATAAACATACATACACATACACACATACACGCACATACACGCACACACACGGACACACACCCACGCACAAATATCATTTAATCATTATGAAATGAAATTTATTACAAATCAATCATTTTCCACTGTGATGCACTCAATGGCCCAAATTTGCAGTGCACAAACAGTGAGAGTTTTTAATGGAACAAAACAAAAGAATTTAATTCACTAAAACTTTTAACGGATTATTGAATGAATTAAACATTTTACTTTTATAACACATATTTTGTGTGAAAATTTGATTTCTAAAAAATTTTAAAGTTCAGTATTTTAGTTAAATATCAGTACAGATATTATATTATTTTCACCTTGTAAAAAGGATGCTAAAAGCTTATTTTATTTCATTCACTTCTTTCGAATTCATGCAAATATATTTCTGAATTTTAAATGTATGTTAATTAAATCAATTTTATTGATCGATGAGGTCAATATATTGTTAGCATTTTATTTGCATTGTTTCTGAAGAAGAGATTACGAAAAAAAGAGCTATTGGCAGTATTTCGAAATTAATTGTGTTATTTGTTAAGGAATATTTCCATCAATATGTTTAATTAATTAATGTAATTAGGCTTATTAATATGTGTTTACATTTTCATTTCTGAAACAAATAAAAAAGAAAAAGGCACACGAAGAAATGAATGGGAGTAAATTTTGACAAACATTAAAATAAATGAACAGGTAAATAGTAAGCGGAATAAATTTGCAAACTTAAAATTAAAATTTTATAAATTCCTAGCAAACTGCTCCACATTGAAATCAACGCTGATAGAAAAATTTTTTCTTATATTTCATAAATTAAAGCATGAAGAGAGTTTGAGAAGAAGTAAAAAAACACATTAAAATAATGTTTGAATGGAATCAGTATATTTTAGCAAAAAAAAAAAGAAAAGAAAAAGAAAAAAGAAAGTTCATCGAAGTAAAACGACAGTTCATTTAGTTATTCAAAGAAGGAATGCAAATATATCATGACCTTGGATCTAACCTTCCCACTAATACTCTCTAAAGGGTGGAAAAATTTGATCAAGCAAATTTTATGAGTACATATATGGGGGTTACACAAGGTCGTTCCATTATGTTTATCATATCGAGAAAATTATCGCACATAAGTTGATCATCAAAGTAAACTCTAAAGTAAACTGTGTAACCATTTAGAACGGTTCGCTAAAATGATGTTAATTGTTAAGTTAGAAATTTTTTTCTTTTTTTTTTTACAAACAAAATTATTAGAGTGAGAAATGAGAAATGAGATAGAACTTAAGCTGTCATATGCAAGCAAAGAGTGGAACAGTTGAATGTTAGCAATGATTCATTCCATTGACACATAATCAAAATGCATTTTTTTTTACAGTTTGTAGAAATAAAAAAAACCTCGTTGAGAAAGATAAGCTTAGAAATATGAGGGATGTATGAGGCTTACTACAGATAGTACAAGAGAGAGAAAAAGAGAGAAAGGGAGAAAAAAAAGGAAGAAAGAGACAGCATCTTCTCATACAATCTAATCATCACATCAGATTGCAGAGAGAGAGAGAGAGAGAGAGAGAGAGAGAGGGTGGGAGGGAATATTACAACTTGATAAGCAATCATTTGGTAAGCCTCAATTCTCTCATTTCAAACATACCAGTAATTTTTGAAAATGAGAAGATGCTTCAAAATGGAGCAGTTGCAAAACTGTTGACAATTAATTATTCATTATTGTGATAAGTGTTTCGATTCAAAAAGCAACCGCGTTGGGAGAGAAGAATTTGCAACGACTGTTAAAATATAATTAAATTAAAACTAATAACATAAGTTTTAAAACATTAATCTTTTATAGCTTCCATAAACTTTCAATATCATCCAATCATTTCAACTTATCAGTACAACTATCGTCTGGATAGAGAGCGAGCTCATGAAAAGAATTTTCTGATACGTTTCACATTTCTTCACCAGTTGGATATTTAAGATTCTGTAAGATATTATTGCTTTTTGTATCGAATGATAGCACTCGAAATGTAACCAAAATTAGTAGAATTAAATTAATGAAAAAAGAAATAAAATTGAAAAGTTAAAGAAAAAAATTGAAATCATCAAATAATTGAAAAAGTTAAGCAAAAAAGAAAATTATGCTAATAAATTGGAAAGCTATACGTATTACAAAAATTTGATAGTATTCAATTAAATGATTAGCAAATAAAATGATTGATTGTATGGAAGTAGATGTTTTGGATAATTGTCACGTGCAAGAGACTGTAATGGATGACGCA